CCTATATTAAAAAGTAATAGTTTTTATTTCATCAACCTGCTCATAGTTTGGGGTTACTTTCAACTCCAAAAATGAATTTGAAATGGGCTCTCTCTTGACAAAGATTGACTTGTGGGCCAGAAGAATTCTATTCACTATAACATTACCATAAAATATATAATACAATTCTCTCAACCTATAATAAAACAATCATCTTGATATTCCCCTCAAATATATAGAACTGATTCTCAACATATGGATTTTTATGTACATATATATTTTGTTTGACTAGAAAAGTAAATAATGTTTTTTATTTTATTTTTTGAACTGAACGAAGTCGGAGAAAAAACATTTAAACTACTGTTGAGAAAAAACAACTCTGTGTGAAATAATATCTTAAGTATTTGATTAGCATATATATATATATATATAAATGTTTCTATACCAATATGATTTTTTTTCAAATAATTATTTTTAAGCGCTATTTTCTAGAAATTATGAAAGATCAATAATATTTTATAAACTAATTATCACATTAACAGTTTTTTTTCATCTTTAAAATGCTCAGAGTTTCGGAAGTTAAAATGTTATTTTATATCACGTAGATTTCTGAAACTTTTTCTAGGTACTCTAAGCTATAAATAAATTCGTTGCATATTTTTGGCGTATTAACATAGACTATGGCGAAATTTTATGTTCTTAAATATGCGAAAATACCTATTATTTTAATGAACTTAGTACGTACTTTGAATGCGCTCTTAAATCTTTATAAAAACATTTAATTAACGTTATTAAAGTTAAGCTCCAGATTTAGAAAAAATGCGAATATCTTATTCAGAATGCTTGAGGCTACAAATTGCAAAACACTCTCAACCTAGCTTAACTAGTTTTCTTTTTATATTTTTCTTAATTATCTATCTTGACTCCCTTAAATTTTTTTCTCTGTCCCTTGTTCATAGTTTTGACCATCAGTTTAAAATAAAAAAAATTTCTTCTCAATTGTTTAAATTATTTAGAGAAAAAAAATTTCAAAAGTATTTTGATCCAAAATTATTTTAGTAATTTAATTTTATGAATTTTAAAAACTCAAAATTATTTAAACGATAACAGTAAACTTTTTGGAATTTTTTTTAAAAACAATCCATGTTGTATCGGGACAAGTAGGAAAACTATTACTACATTACCTTCATACCAGTTACCTAATACCACAGCTGTATCTACGCTGTAAAAAATTCCGGATTAGTTTATGTTAAAAAGTACTGGTACCTTGGTTGCGCCATCTGCAAAGTCAATTTTATCCTGAAATTCATTTTTACCTAAAAATTGTATACTGCAATTCTCTTGCAGTAGTGTTTATTTAATTACAATGGTTCAGAGACTTTATAGTTATTACTAAAGTAAAAATTACGGTAAATCAGATTCGCTTTTGTGTAAAATTTTACAGCAACGCATTTTACGGTAAAATTTAACGAAACTTTCCCCGTAATTTGATTCAAAATTTTTACATTGTATTATCAAAACCAATTAGGTGTAACTAACATCATTAATTGTTTGTCGATATTTAATCTGACATTCGAAATAGAAGAGTATAAAAAAAAAACTTTCATTAGAAAATATTTCCTCTGACTTTTCCATCTGTTATCATTTTAAAGATATAATAAATTGACAGTTAGGCAGTTTTAATTTTTTAAACCTAAATTAACAAATTTAAAAAAAGCAAAATGTGTCCAAAACATTTTTATTGACGACAAAAGTGTCTAAAAAAAGAAAACAAAACCCCGAAAATAATTACCAAATTGAAAAACATGCTTTATTCGCAAAGTTTTTACCGTCAAATATGAGTGGTTTTAAAACTAAATGCTTCTTTTCCTTGATATTTCTCCAAAAACACTTATGTTGATTAAATATTTAAAGTTCTGCATTATTCTTGAAATTTATAAAAACAATTTTTTTATAAGTTTTGAAGAAGAGCGATACTCTTCCATCCTATTCAAGAAACTGTTTCAGTATTTCTGTATAAAATTATTTACCTATGATGTAAAATATATTTTTCTTCAACAATAATACATTCATATGTCTTCTTGCTCCTAAAATTAATTTAACAACATCTAAATTTTACAGTTTTCGAAGTGAACGAATCAGCACAAATATATAAAAGTACACTTTTTTTCACAGTACATACATTATCTACACAGAAAATTATATTTTACAAAATACATTTTAATGTCATAGACAAAAGTGGATGACAATGCGATAAGCTTGATACTGAAAGGATGGGTGTGAATGAAAAATTCATAAGGACTTTAATAAAATTGAGTTCGTAAAGTATGTCTTAAAAACTTATAACGTCACTACTGAGGAAAAACGTTAAGGCAAAAATAACAATAATTTACTCATGAAAAAATTTGGGTATTTTTTAGTCCAAATTAAACTTTTGATTTAAACTGGCATATTATCAATCTAATTCAACAATATTTTTATTTAATTGTAACAAATTTTCTTTCTTTGTAATAATATTCATAATATTTTAAGCAAACTACTAATACTTAGATATCGAAGAATTCCCCTGCATCTATACTTGATTAAAGTTAGCAATAATCGAAAAAATATGTTTAATTGTTTTTTGTTATGAAAATACAGTGTGTCTATTTATATATTTATTATTTATTATTTCAGTCTGTATTCTGAATTATTTCTGTCCACTTACGTATTTCTTTCTCGTAAAGAATATCTTTAGCAAATAATTTTTTGAGCATTTTTGAAAAATTAAAAAAAAAGTATACACCTTGGGAGCCACAAATCAATGATAAATCGAGGAAAAAAGCAAAAACGTTATTGATATTCAAAAAGTTTCAGTACAGAAATCCGAATTTAATGACCAACAACACAGATTTGATTGCGGTTGGAAATAGAGAGGGTTTTAAAGACTATCAGTCAAGACTCTATGAAATTTCAATCTCTAATGAAACCTGTTCTGTTGTTTGCTACACTCGCCTTCCTCTACTGTAGCTTGTCAGATTTCAATAGCATTTTAAAATTTTTTTCTTTCTCAAATATTGAAATTGTGACCACAAATGTGCATGCTTTTTTATTTTAATTTTTATAAAGATTATATATATATATATATANTTAAATAAATACACTTATTCTTTCGAAGTATATAACATTATTTCTGAAGGAAAATTCTGTAGAATGACTTTCGTTATACTTTTACATATCATAAATGTAATTCAAAAAGTATCTGTGTAGATGTCAGAGAAGAAATATATGCAGCCATTAAAATTATTTGTTAAGCTCACATATAAAAGCACTATCAACACATAATTCTATGTAGAAAGAACCATAATTAAATGAACGATTATAGGGCGGAAAACAAATAACAATTTTTGTTAAGTAATTTAAAAAATTGAAATAATTTTAATTAAGATAAAATATTTAAGTATAAATTTAATTCAATACCTTAAGTATAAATTAATACTTTGGCGACCAGCTTGGTCATATTTTGAAATTATCTTGTTCAACCTGTAAACTTTGAGGTAATGGAACCAAATGCATAGCACAATGATAATTTAAATATTCAAATTCTTTAACCCTTTTCAAATCCTAATATCCATATCAGTTTTAAGCAATAAATGAACCAAATTTTTTAACAGTCTAGCTCTTGCCAGTGGCTTTGTGAAAGTGGAAGTACCTTGATTTTAATTTTTTTTCGAGAGATGTCCGCGATATTGTCAAATGTCTTTATGTATTGAATTTATTAATGATTTAAATTTTGTCCGGCAGTCATTAAATCCTACAAACGAGCAAAAATATGAGTCGGGAAAATTTCAGCATAGTAGGCAGCAGAAATTTTAAAACTATTTAAACTTCTATCGTGACATAAGACCGAAAACTCATCACAATGAGTCATTCTGTGCTGTACTACTGTGTAGTACAAAAAGAAGTAGGACTGTGCTGTACTACTTCCTCACACACCTCTCGAGTCATAACTTAGTATATAATATCGTATAATATATATGCTATTGGTTGAGAAATTTATTCGACAATAAGAATTGATTAGATAATATGCGGCACCATAGCACCGTTTATGTTTGAAACCATTTTATAATGGAAGAAAAATAAATCTTAAATTGCTTCCTAACTAATTTTTTATTTCTATAAAAATACAAAATTATCGAAATAAATATTTAACGTTTAACTAACTATTCAACAATGCTTAGAATATTACTTAACACTAGGTGAAAAACAAGTCTAATTAAATACCTAACGTGTAACTAATTATTTAACACATAAATTATCACTTAAGATAGAAATTACAGAACGAATTGTTATCAATGACTATAGTGTTGCCATTTTAGATAGAGAAATAACCGCGGTTTTGGTGCCACGTATGCTTCCACAGTCATTTAAGAAAGGATCAAAAACAAATCTAAATAATTACTAAGATTTTATTACAATAAAAATACAAAATGAGTCTTAATAAATACTTAAAGTATAACTGATTTTTTAGACACTACTTAAAAAATTACTTAAAACAACCTAATAAAATAAATTATAACTATAGTGTAGCCAATTTTAATTGAGAAATATCCGTGTTTATTATACCACATAAGAAAGATATATGCATAGATTATTTCTCTTATATATTCTGTAAGATACATTTACATGCCTCTGTCTATTTATGTATTTCTTTCTTGTATGCAATCTCTTGCTGATATAGGAACTAAAGCTTTGAATGCAGCAGTGAATCATCACATGGAAAGAATAAAAATGAAAGATGTATTTTTACGTATTAAAAAAAATAATTATAAGTCTACCAGCAGAAGGCATAAATTGTAAATTTATCAATATCGATCCAAACTTTATTTGATGTTTAAATCGTTAACTTAATTATGGTTCACTCTACAGTTTAATAATAAGTATTAAAATAAGTAAACCCTGTGCTTTAACAATCACAATTACGCAATTTTAGCATAAACTATACAATAAGAAGTTACAAAAATTTCCTTTTTCAATATGTATTTACATTTTACCCTTGAACATATGCATTTAGATATGCTTTCTTTGCTATAATATTACTTATGAAAAAATACTCTCTTTTTTCCTCTAAGCAAATCACAGTTCCTTTAAAATGATGACTATCCATTGGAATGTATTTACAGTAATAAGTTAACGATAGATATTTTTTTCCCATAAAGTATCCATAAAGCGTTGTCGACTAAGTCATTGCATCAAAAAGAGCACACAATAAACAATTCATCTAAAGCTCATACTTATTCTTAGGTACTTCTTCATAAACGATGCAGTATCAGATTACAGTATCGAATAACGACAAGGATCGTGCTATCGTTTCATCCTGAAAGAGTTAAACAATCTACAATTGTATTTTAATATAAAATGAAGAAACAGTTATAGAGTTGATAAATTTGTGACAAACTTAACCTTTAAAACTTCAGTTATTAACCGATTTAAACTTACGGACTATCGTATCACTTAAATTAGCTTAAAATGGATTATATTATACAGATTGAACGGAAAATTGGTCCATTTAGCACTTGGTTAACTATTTTCCACATCCTTTAATATATTTTTTTCTGACTCTCTAATTATAAGTAAAAATAAATTTCGGTAATTTTTAATTTTTAAAAAAAACAGTCTAATAGTTATTAAAAAATTTCTGTTATATTACAATAATTTTTGCTAAAATGTTCAGCCTAAAATAAGTAGTTTGAAAAGCTTTCCTTTCATTTAATTAAAAAATTTATCAATAATTGGTTTTTCAAATTAAAAATTTTTCAATAATAAATAACTGCTTCTCTTAGATATAAATGAGTGAAAATTTGAAAAATTATTGTTTTGAAACGGATCGTGTTTGAAAAATTTTAACCTTGAAGCAAAAAGTGGTGTTTCATAACCATCAATTATTAAAATGCTAAATATTACATTTTTCACTTAGTTTGATCTAAATGAATAAAAAATAACAAAAACCGTATGAAAAATATGTTTAATAAATATTTTGCATCAAAGGGATAAATTTGCAGCTAATTTGCCTAGTATTTTGGCTCAAGGTACTGATACTGATTTTAATTTGAACCAATTTAAACTTAGGTGCAAATTTTTTTAATTCATTTATTCCAGTTCACTATGTTAACACTAGCGTGAAAAGTTTACTAAAAAAGGTGATGGTTAAAGACGCCAAAATAGACATGGCGTCCTAAGTATAACGTTTGCAGCTAATTTGCCTAGTATTTTGATTCTCGGCACTAATACTGATTTAAATTTGAACCGATTTTAATTAAAGCATATGAGTGAATTTTTTTCCATTTATTCCAGTTCACTGTGTTAACACTAGCAAGAACAGTGGACTAAAACATGGCTATTAATCTTCTAATATTGCAGTCATTGTTAGATTAATTTCCTGAGTCACGTATTTATCAAATTTTAAACTAATTAATAAACAGTTTAGTGTATACACATTCTCGTCAAATTTCTTGAATATTGTTCCATTTTGCTGAGAAATGACTTTTTCAAACAAAAATAATTTAAATAAATTATAAGAATAATAGTCAAAAAATTCCACACCATTTAGACACTGATTTCATAGATGAAAACTTATATCATATATACATGAAATACAATAATATTTATTCAAGAAAATGAAAGCTTGAACCATTTGATTGATGAAAATGTTTTTAAATTCGTATGCATATGTCAAAAATAAGAGTTTGTGTTCACTATTTGGGTTTAATTACTGGGTTTGGGTTAATAAATAATTTAATGTATTTTAAAATTGGATGAAATATAAAATGAACTTAAATGTTTTTGTGATAAAAATTATCTAACAAATAAGAAGAACGAAAATTCGCTTGTCATTAATGGTCAGGGAATGAAACAGAAGCATAAAACAAAATACTGCGTAAGTTCCTGAAGTGTTGAAATGACATTATAAAGGACAATTTAGATTGTTTGAAATTATTTTTAATTAATAATTAGGCCAATTTGATGATCAATGCAAGCCAAAAAATGCTGATTTCTTCATTTTCGGCTAAAAATGAACGCTAATAAAACTCCGTATGCTAAAGAATAACAAACATTAACTAGATGATTAACAAGATTAACTTAACTGTTACATGTGTTTGCTGTCTTTTAATACTCTGATAGACTGTTCCAAAAGCAATGTTTTTTATTGTGGGTAAAAAATAGTAAAAACTACTATGTAAAAAATAGTAAAAACTGGCTGCTAAGCCTTGTCATTCATACATTTGAATAAGCCTGTTTATGAAATGAGATATTTGTTTTAAAATATAAAATACACTAAATATAAATATTGTTAGTGTCTTTTAATTTAACATTGAAATCTAAACTATAAATATTTTCATAAGTAAGAGATATTAATGATTACGACTTGTGTTTCTCAAATTTTTAATTATAATTGCATAATCAATGAAAAAATTTCAAGTATTAGGGGAATTCGAAACAAGCAATGATGTATTTAAAACTATTTATTGTAATATATTGAATCATTTTAAAGGCACGATACAGTTGTTTCGAATATCAAAATTCGGTTTGCTTTTACAAATTTGTTAAAGATGCTTAATATCTAATCTTAATATGGCCTAGCACATCAGACGCACAAAATAAATAACCCTTCATTTTTTCAGAAGCAATTTTCCCAAACATTCAGCAAAAACAATGTTTTTCGCAGCGTTAAAATATTAGTTAAGCTTAATACCTAATTATGAATTTAATTATTCTTTGTTGCCAAGGCAACTAGAACACGCTTGTAATTGAGTTACTTGCAAATCGAGAGGAAGTNTGTTTGATCGTTTAAATAGCTGCTCGCCAGATTTTATTGCATTATAAAGAAAAGTAATTGATATTCGATTTTTGATTAATAATTGATTTATGTGGATAGTGGAATTTATGTGGATAGTGGCATAGAATTTAGCATTGCGTCAAATGTTATTCCTACTATGTGGAAGTAGTTGTGTTTTTTTTATATTTTACCCAATTATGAATTTAATTATTCTTTGTTGCCAAGGCAACTAGAACACGCTTGTAATTGAGTTACTTGCAAATCGAGAGGAAGTGAAGTGGTTTGGCCTAATCATGTGATTTAAATCATATTTAATTGATTACCTGTAAGCGACGTAGCATGTCAAACCTTATTGGCTTCTGAATCATCAGCTACGATGACGTCACTTGCAGGAATTAATCGTCGAAATTTAATGCGTTACGTAACGTAAATGATTAGTTATGCTGGTGAATCAGTAGATTTGAGATGTTGCTAGTTGCAACAAATAAAATTTAGGTAATGAACCAGCCTGTATACAGACGATAGAAGTTCAACCTTGAAAAATCTTACAGACTAGGCATTAAACGGTTAAGTTTTGACGTAATCTCGCCAACGGAACATAAGCTATTAAGCTTTTTCTCCCCATAAAACTCAATAAATTTTAACCTGTTATTATGGGCATAAGAAATGGTATGAGATCTTACTTTTGAACAAATCTCCATAAATTCATCTATTGTCACAACACCATCTTTGTTTATATCCATTTTCTGAAAAAGGAAAAAAAATTATGGTCCTTTAAAAGAAATTTACATTTTTTTGCATATTGACGAAATTTCAGACTTTAAACTGAACTTGAACTTAGACTTCCATTACGGTTCAAAATGAATTACTTTCCAATAATGTTTATTTCAAAAGCATAAATAGAATGAAAGTGTGAAAAATAAAATGCATAATATAAAATAAATTTATACCGAAATAAAGATCATAAATGTGTGCTTGTATGTGAATTTAACTTTTTTAAAATACAATTACTCAATTTTAAAGTAATTATTTTGAAGTTGAAAGTAAATTTTTTGAAAAGTAAGAAGTAAACAACACTAATAAAGTTGCGAACTGTTAAAGTAACCAGCAAAAAGTACAGATAAAAATGCACATGCAAAATGAAAGGGAGAAAATAAAAAAAATATATAAGCACAAATTGCAAAAAACAAAGTTTCTATTGAAAGCTATTGTTCAATTTTATTAAAACTTTTTTAGTTCAATTGAGATAAGTCAACTAATATTTTTCTTGCTGAAATTTTTAATTTGCGATAGAGATGTGACAAATATTATATGAGATTATTATAAGAAAGCAAGGATCAAAATTGAATTCGGAGAGATAGTAAACTTGTTGAAAAATTTTTGCACACAATTATGAAATTCGTTTATTTAAAAAAAATTTCTACGCACAAAATATATTTCAGGAAATATTTATGATTTTTTATGATTTTATTTAATAATAGCAAGACAATTTGAATTGTAGGGTACAAAATTGTTTACATCATTTTAAAGTATGTAATTTAATGAGGCAAAATACAAAATTTGAACGAATTCAGTTGAATAGTTCCTGAAAAATCTAATTTTAAAAAAGTTGTACATTTAAAATTTGATTTATCAGGAAATATTCAACTGATTTCGCTTAAATTTTATATTTTGCTATGTAAATTTACATACTTAAATATGATGAGAAAAATTGTATAACCTACAATTCGAAATTTTTTCGACTATCCTGAAATAAAATAATAATAAATGTTTACTAAAATTTATTTTTTGGATAAACGAAATTTATAATTCTGTACAAAAATTTTTGCAATTTGCTTTAAACGTTCTCGAGATATCGCGAAATACGCAAAAAGTAAAATTAACATGAAGGGGCCTAAAATTTGGAACTCTCTCCTGACCACCCTATTGGGACCATATTTCCCACATTGTGGCAACCCCCTATATTTTGGGGTTCAGAAATCTGAATCCGTTGAAAAAAAGATATGTTTATTCAGATAAAATTCGTTTTTGTGACTGATTTCGTATCCTAAAATATCGTTTGCACTAATTAATTGGCATATTTGAAGTCATCTCTTCAAACCATAGAACGTGAAAATCCGATCATTAGATCAAAAATTATCTAGGGTGGTCCGTTTTTTTAGGCACCCTGTACGTATTATTCATGGTTAAATAGTGAGAATTGTGTACAGGCGTTAAGTTTATTTGAAAATAGGAAATAAAATTTTTTTATCATAAACATAGGGCATAACAGGGCTTTAAAAGAAACTATGCTTAAAAATTTATAATAGTTTTAAAGGACAGTTGTTAATTTTTAAATTTTTATAGTAATAATTTAATGTATTTTAAAAAGATATTTAGGAAAAATCTAGTAATAAACTTTACTCATCCAGTTAAAAACAAATTTATAAAACATGAAATAATTACAAATTTTTTAAGTTTATTTCGTAATTTTTCAATCCAAATAAAATTAAACCCTAGAATTTATCTCAAGTTAAAAAATATCAATTCTTTGAAAGAGTTAGTTAGAGCCTTTTTGTTCTCGTTTTCCGCGTTAAAAATTAAACTGAAATTTTGTGTTTCATAAGAAGATAAAAAGAAACACCAATTTAGTTTATTTTATATAGAATTTCTGTTTTTACATTTCTTATAACTATATAAAGGAAAATAGTTTCTGCTTAGCTGAATTCTTAAGAAGTTTCATTTATTTACTATCACAATATACATGTTAAAATGAGCAGCAGTTTTTGAGACTAGAATTTAAATTTATAAAAGACAAAAACACAAAAAATGTGTTTGTGGAAAAAAGTCAAATTTACTCGAAATGTAATGCAAAACAAAGAATAATAACTCATTTTTTTAATGCATTTTCAGGAAATGCTCACTTTAACATCTGCATGAATACTGACAAAATATTTATTTCTGTAATGTTTCTTTTCAGAGGGACAAAACTAAAATTCTTTAAATATGGAATGAGCGGTGAGGGCTTGCAAACTGAAGAGCGTATCGCATTCAGCATTAAACCAGGATTCTATTACATTCCTTATTAATTGAGGTTGTAGAAGAGATAATTTTTTTTTAAATAACAAGGCCTTTGATCCAGACCTAATAGCGTCAAAATTGATCAAAAACTTTGGATCATATGAAGTTGGAAACAATATACCATTAAGCAAGTATTTAAAATCAGACATCTTTGCCAATTGCTCATTGTGCAGCTCTTGTGCTACGTAAATAAGGTACTATTACTAAAGTACTACCAAAAACTTAATTGAAAGTGAAGAACTAAACAAATAATTTTATAAATGTCTGGTTAAACTTGTACGTGTTTACTCATCAGAAACGTAGAGAAGGACTCAAAACGATGACAACATTCTCGAGTCTTTAAGCGGCGGAAACTACGAGCTGTTCTTAGCAGAACGTAAATTGATTGCATTACGCACAAATGCTTAAATCTCGACTTTTACCAAGCTTTCAAGGAACCTGACGTCATTAAACTCACAATAGCCCAAAGAATTGTGTCTCAGGGAATATGTCGCCCAATCAGGTTACCTCAATAAGTCTGTCAAGCTAACCGTGGGAGGTTTCCGTGGTTTTCCTCTCCATGTAACGCAAATGCGGCTTAGTTAAATCGAAAAATCCTCTACGAAAGTTGGATTGAGTAATTAAATTATAAGAGACTAAATAAATTATAAGAAGTAGAATTCGGGCCCCGCGTTAAGAAGAGAGAGTTTAATTATATTATAATTAAATTATATGAGTTAGAGAGTTTAAAGATGTTTAACTCCGAAACCTTGTAATTTTGAAACTAACCCAGAAGTCAAGGAGACTCCTGGATCAAGAGTTCAGTGAACTTCTCTAATTCTTATAATTTAATTATAATAAAATTAAATTAAAATTTTTGAACTTCTTTAATTCTACCCCAATTAATATGAACTCTAATTGATATGTAAACTCTAAACAGTTTTATTAAATTAGATAAATAAAGAGCTAAAACCAATAGAGGAATAAAGATAAAACCTCTATGAAGGATTTGATTTTGAGTTACAGTATTCTTGCAAATTGAAAAAAAAATTATCTGAGATCCGATAAGTATTTTGATCTTGTATGTTTCATTTGCATAAATCACTCAATAAATTTTATTAAATTAGTACTATTATTAACAAGTATAACTTATTATGATTAGTCTTATTATTAGTCTTATTATTAACAGCTAATCTAGTCAACAGTTGATTTAGTTAGGTTGCCACGGGGGCTTTAAACTGTGTTATATAATGCTATAATACATCATATTATAAATAAAAGATAAAAGTTATATAGTTTAGTGTTCTTCAATTTTTTATCTTTTACGTTCCAGTTAATAAGAATTTATAATTGAGAATATTCTCTTTCTTCTAAATCATCTCACCCACATAGAAGTAAAAGTTTATGATTTAAAAGTTCTTACAATGAAATCGAACGGCTCACATCAAAAAAACTTAGCTGGTTTTTAGTTTAATTTGTATATTTAAAAAAAATAGATTGGAAGAAAAAAAAGATAATTTCCAATTAGAAAAAAAACGAAATTATATGGAAAATATACAAACTCAGTCAAATTTATAATTTGATTTGATCCGTTGCGATGTTTTTGCAACTCAGCTTTATAATTTTGATTAGAATGTTTTGAAAAGGAGTTTCAGCAATTTTTTCTCTATATTTTTAATAATCTGAGACGAAAAATAATCTGCAGAGCCCACTGACGTGCTGGTTACCGGAGTTTTTAATTTACAGTTTTCATTAGAATGTTTTGAAAAGGAAGTTCAGCAAATTTTTTTTCTCAATTTTTTTCTATAATCTGAGACGAAAAATAATCTACAGATTCCATGAAAATCTGCAGAGCCAGCTGACGTGCAGGACGGTTTCAGCTACCAAGGAAATTGCAAATTTCTGTTTTTATATTTATTCCCACTAAAAGCGTACGAAGTAAGGGCAATATCTCGACAGCAAATATTTAGTTTCAGAAATATTAGGAAATCATCAAATATGTTCGATTTTTTTAAAGTATTTAATACTCCCTTATTTCCTCTAAGAAATAAAGTGCATCGAAAATTTCTGAGGAAACATGCACTCTTTCCTTGATATGGTATACACGTATCTTTTTAAGTATTTCATGAAAAATATAGGACATTTAAAATTTGATTTCTCAGGAACAATTCTACCGACTTCGCTTAAATTTTGACATTTGGCATGTAAAGAGGCATAGCTTCAATGATGCAGAAAATTATATACTTTACAATCCAAACATTTTCCTACTATTATTAAATATCATAATAAATACTTACTGAATGTTGTTTTTGGTGGTATTATTTTTGGATAAACGAATTTTATAGTTGCGTACAGAAAATTCTCAATTTGCTTAAAAAAATTCTCGAGAGACGGCAAAATACGCAAATAATAAACTTATCATAACTTTGAAACATTCTTCTGATGAAATTATAGGGACCATATTTCTCCAATTGTGGCTACCCCCTATAATTCAGGGGGCAAAAATCGGCATCCATCGAAAGAAAACGGTATGCTTATTCACAGGAAGTACGTTTTTGTGTCTGATTTCATAGCTAAAAATATCGCATGGATTAATCAATTAGCATATTTGAGATCACCTTCTCGAACCGTTACCATTGAGTCCTAAAAAGTGAAGATCTGACCTTTAGATCAAGAGTTACTCAGAGTGGTTTATTTTTTTATATTT